CCCTGCAGGCTCCCCCCTCACCCCCCCTGCAGGCTCCCCTCATCTCCGTTTACCTCAAAGTCGCAGAGGATGTGCTGGAAGACCCCCACATTGGTGCGGGCTGAGGGCCCGAAGCCCAGCTCGGCAGTGCCCGCGACGGCCAGGATGAGCTGCAGGACGCGGTGGGTGAGCAGGGAGCTCTTTTTCCTCAGGAGAAACGCCATCACCTGGAAGGTCAATGCACGAGCAGCTGGAGCCGAGTGCTTCTGAGGCCTCTCCTTGCCCGCTGTCCCCTGTCCCCGAGCCTCTGCTGAGCCGCCTGGAACCCTGCTTGGCGGGGCTGCCTCCTCGGCCTGTGTTCCCAGAAGCAGCTCACACGCCCACGGCTGCGCTGCTTCCCTGCCACTGCCCACCCGTCCGCCACAGGGCCTGCTCCTTCCCGACTCTCCCTCTGTTCCCAGAACACCCCTCGCTCTCTCCTGGTTTCCTTCCGATGCTCAGGGCTCTTTCTCATCCACCATACTGGGCCCCACATTCACAGCCATCCCATCCATGCTGCCAGATCACCAGGAAGGCACCGACTACCCACGAACCCCGATAGCCCCATCACTCCGGCTGCAGCCACCAGACATGCCCCTGTACTGCGTGCGCCAGGCCCTGGGAACCGGCAGCTTCCGGCACCCGTGCCAGGGGCGGCACTGGCAGCCCAGTGGCCCGGCCCATCTCAGACACCAGTACGATGGATCCGCAGCCTCCTGCTGCTGTTGACCTCAGCCTCACAAAGTCAGGCTTGTAGCCAACCACCGGCATCTGGGTCCTCATCCACCCCTCCCCTCCGGTTCTCAGCTCAGGTCCTTGTGCCTGGATCCGAACCAGTCCACCCCTTTCCCCATCTGCTCAGGCCCCTTTCAATGTGCCACTGGGAAGTCATCCTTGTTTTACAGCCTGAATGTCTGTGTTCCTCCAAAACCTGTGTGTTGAAACCTTTGCCTGGCAACATGATGATACTTGGAGGTGGGTCCTTCGTGATGTGGTGAGGAATAGATGAGGTCCGGAGCGTAGAGCCTCAAAAGGGGGCCAGTGTCCTTACAAGAGGCATGAGACCTGCCTCTCCTGCTCTCCACCATATGAGGACCAATCAGAAACTGGCCTCTGTGATCCAGGAAAGGGCCCTCGCCCCACCCGACCGGGCTGGCACCCTGGTCTTTGACTCCCCAGTCTCCAGAACTATGCGAAAACGAATGTCTGTTGTTACAAGCTACCCAGTCTATGGTATTTTATTATAGCAGCCCAAACTAAGACAACTGTGATCATCAAATACTCAGGATCTCCTTAGATTGTCCTGGTCAGGTCTCTGACACATCTGAAACCTGGCGACACCCTCGCCCTCCTCCGCCACCAGCACACAATCAGGAGGCTGAAAGCTGCTGAGGAAGGTCGCCCTCACTGGCTGGTTCACTTTACACTATCGGCGCGGAGTGTCCAGCTGGCACGCGGTCTAACTCTGTTTCTCCAGCAAGCTGGTTCTCCTTGTCCGAAAGACAGTGTTTCATCTCTCCTTCCTCCCCCAACCTTCCTTCCCTGCTACCACCCACCTCATACTCTGCTGAGAAGACAGAACCCATCAGCCATGAGCGCTCTCGCCTACCCAACCCTCATCAATAACGCCCGCGCTGCATGCCTTCCTCTCACAGGCAAGGTCCTACCTGGCCTCCAGCCCCCTCCTCACCTTCACCAGGACTCTGTTTCTTGAGATAATTCTTCTCTTCTCAAGTCCTCTCTCTCTCTCTCTCTCTCTCTCTCTCTCCCTCCCTCCCTCTCTCCTTCCTTCCACCAACAGAAGGCTCTAGTATTTCTCTTCTTAAAAATAGCCCTCCCTTGAGCCCGCATCCCTCTAGCTCTGACCCCACTTTGCTACCCCTCTCCTCAGCAAACCTCTTGAAAGCACTAGGGGTGCATTCTGGCTCCACGTCCTCACCTATGTTCTCACTTCCACCCCCTTCAGCTGGTTGCTGCCTCCACCTGACCACCTGTCCACCTGTCCACCTGTCCACCTGCCTTAGCAAGGTCCCCAATGACTCCCAGGTGCCAAATCCCCTGGAAATACATCTGTCCTTAGTTTGCTTCATCCTGAGCATTGTTTGGCTGCACTGGCCTTCTCCAAATGCTTCTTTCAGAATCTTTGGCAGTTTTCTTTAGTTTGTCTTCCCTCTTTCTTCCCAATCTCCTTCGTTGGTTGGGCTTTAATCATATTTCCAATCTACAAGGTTAGCTCCTTGTTTCTTCCTCTTGAGTTCTCTTCTCTATTCTCTCTACTCCTCTTTGACTATTTCATTAGTTTTCTTGGATTAAATAGCATCGTGCTGATATTGATGACTCACATTTATGCCCAGCTCAGCTTGTCCCTCTAAGCTCGAGCCATCTACCCACTTGACAACTGACTTTTGGTCTCACAAACATTTCAAACTTAGGAGGTTCCAGTAGCTCCCTCCTCCCTGCCTGCTGCCTTCTGGCATGTGCACCAGCTGATCTCCTGAGCGGGCTTCCCAGACTGCTCGCAAGGACCCCAAGTCTCTCCGGGTCAGGAACGCAGTCGCAGAGCAGACTGGCTTCTATCTCAGTCTCCTGCTCAAATCTCACGCCTCCGATCCACCTTCCACATTCGTGTCAAAGGTCATTCTGAAGCATTAATCACTCCATTTCCTGGTCCCAAGCTTCCCTGTGGTTACTCATCATTTCCAAGGTAGAAACCCATGCTCCCTGGAGGGCAGATTTCTGGTCCTTCCCTCGCTGCCCGGCTGCCTTGCAGTGGCTCACACCTGTCCTTTCCCCGCATGTTTTTAATGCCAGTCTGAACGCTATCCTTCTTTCCGAGACAATGAAAATCCATCCTATGAACCTCAGGATGTCACCCAGGCTGAGAAGAGGAGAGTAAGTAAGTTGGATGAAAATAACAAGTAGAAAGATATATGCTTTCCTTGTGCTCTCAAATCCACTCAGCAAATCAGCAAATAAATACAGAATGAATGTCTGAAAAACGATGAGGTCCCCTCCCAAGTGAGCTGGTGCATTGAAGACCCTCGCTATCATTCTCTGGCTCAGTCACAGGCTTGACTACAAACCTACTGTCTAGCAGGCGCTCTCAGGGTGCAGCAATGGACAAGCAGACCAGGCCTGCCCTCCTGGAGCACGTGCCGCGGGGCGAACAGACCCCAAACACAGCCTGTCTAGGTCGTGCCGACTGGGCACGCGGGTTATGCAGAAGAAGAAGGGATGCAGTAGGATGCGACTCTTTAGAAAGAGGCAAGGTAGGCAAGAACAATAATAACCTGGTGTCTTTACATAAGCCTGGCATTGCCCCCCTCAGCACTGCCCGCCTCCCTTCTGAATTCCCATGAAGACATAAATGCCTGGAATGTTTCTTCTTTAAGCCACAAGAAGAGTTTATAGACTTCCTTCTTCTGCCTCCATGTGCACATTAAAGCCCTGAATCTGGTGGGTTCTTTATTCAAATGAGGTATACAAAGTCTTCATCTCATAATATTTATCTGCCTGTCCTATTAGACAGTGATATAAATTAAATGTTTATGCCCCCCCCCAATTCATATGTTGGAACCTAATCCCAATGTGATGCTATTAGGGGGTACAGCCTTTGGGGGTCATTAAGTCACGAGGGTGGAGGCTCTAGTGGGAATAGGGTCCTTATAAGGAGACCTCAGGTGCTCCCTCAGCCTCCACCTTGTGAGGACACACAGAAAGGTGGGCATCTATGAACCAGGAGGGCCCTCACCACACACGGTCTGCCACACCTCGCTGTTGGACTCCCCAGCCTCCAGAACTGCGAGGCACAAATGTCTGTTGTTTATAAACCCCACCCCCACCCCGTTTATGGTGTTTTGTTACAGCAGCCTGAACAGACTAAGACAGACAGTGAGTTCCCGGGAGGGAGAAGCTAACCCCATTTTGTTCGGCCGCATCCCCGGTGCCTAGCACGGTGTCTGGCCCTTAAGCAGCACTCAGTCAGCATGAGCAGAGCAAAGAAAGCCAAGCTACTCCTTGCCTCTCCCACATCTTCCTAAACACCCAGGCAACCGACTCCTCTGGTCTGCCAATCGCCATTCTGTTTTCTTTTTTAAAAAAATGTCTTTATTGATGTTTTAGAGAGAGAGGAAGGGAGAGGCACACCTCCTACTGGGATCAAGCCTGCAACCCAGGCATGTGTCCTGACCAGGAATGGAACTGCTGACCTCTTGGTTCATGAGTGGATGCTCAACCATTGAGCCACACCAGCCGGGCCCACCGCCTTTCTTTTTCACGAGGCTCTTTCGCCTCCTACCCATGTGTGAGGCGGCGCCTCTGCAGCTCCCGGCACGTCCTCTCCCCCAAGGCACGTGCTCACATGATGGGCCCTTGCTAAGGACTCGGCAGCGAGGAGACGGGGGCAGGAGAGCCTGGCACTCTGTGGAGCTCGGAGCTCCCGGGAAGAAGCTGGGGAGCCACTGAGTGGCAGGAGCAGTGGCCCCGGAAGAGAGTCTTGGACACACTGCGATCAGTTTCTACTAAAATTGCCTTGTTTCTGTCTGTTTCGTCCTTCTCGATATACCACGGGAGTACATGGGGCTTTGTACCTTGGAATTGCTTTGTACCTTGTGGGAAATGCTCACAATAATTATTAAAATCCCCAGCCCCAGCAGATACCTAAGTGCTAAATTGGCACAATTCCCACGGCTGCTGCCTTTATCAGTATAATAAAAAAAAACTTGTATCTACCAAAAACCCCAATTCTTGACTTTTAATATGAACGCAGACCTACCCATCACTATCACCAAAACATTTACTGAGCGTCTGTCTGGCCTCAGTCATGCACTGGCACCAGCGAGGAGTGCCAGGATCAGAGGCCTGCAGCCCAGTGGCGAAAGCCTGCAACCCAGGCATGTGTCCTGACCAGGAATGGAACTGCTGACCTCTTGGTTCATGAGTGGATGCTCAACCATTGAGCCACACCAGCCGGGCCCACCGCCTTTCTTTTTCACGAGGCTCTTTCGCCTCCTACCCATGTGTGAGGCGGCGCCTCTGCAACTCCCGGCACGTCCTCTCCCCCAAGGCACGTGCTCACGTGATGGGCCCTTGCTAAGCACTCGGCAGCGAGGAGACGGGGCAGGAGAGCCCGGCACTCTGTGGAGCTCGGAGCTCCCGGGAAGAAGCTGGGGAGCCACTGAGTGGCAGGTGCGGTGGCCCCGGAAGAGAGTCTTGGACACACTGCGATCAGTTTCTACTAAAATTGCCTTGTTTCTGTCTGTTTCGTCCTTCTCGATATACCACGGGAGTACATGGGGCTTTGTACCTTGGAATTGCTTTGTACCTTGTGGGAAATGCTCACAATAATGATTAAAATCCCCAGCCCCAGCAGATACCTAAGTGCTAAATTGGCACAATTCCCACGGCTGCTGCCTTTATCAGTATAATAAAAAAAAACTTGTATCTACCAAAAACCCCAATTCTTGACTTTTAATATGAACGCAGACCTACCCATCACTATCACCAAAACATTTACTGAGCGTCTGTCTGGCCTCAGTCATGCACTGGCACCAGCGAGGAGTGCCAGGATCAGAGGCCTGCAGCCCAGTGGCGACGAGCAGGCTTTACAGTGTGCGCGTGGTCAGCCCCGGGCACGGC